TGAAACATATATATATGTATGTATATATTTCATATACATATATATAAAACAATATATATATATATATATGAAAACATATATATATATGTATGTATATTTTTCATATACATATATATATGAAACAATATATATATATATATGAAACATTATAGATATATATGAAAACATTATGCATATATATGAAATAATATATATATATATATATCATATACATATACATAAAAAATATATATCCTATACATATATATGAAACAATAAATATATATATATATCATATACATATGAAACAATGTGTATATATCATATACATATATATGAAACAATATATATATATATATATCATATACATATATATGAAAAAAAAATATATATATATCATATACATATATATGAAACAATATATATATATATCATATACATATATATGAAACAATATATATATATATATCATATACATATATATGAAACAATATATATATATATCATATACATATATATGAAACAATATATATATATATATTTCATATACATATATATAAAACATTATATATATGCATATGTAAATTTTTGTCATATGATATCACTTGATGATTAGCAGCGAGAATTACAAGGAGGATATAAATCCATAAATCTAAAGAGTGAGAGCAAATCTTTGTAGAATTGTTCTGAAGAGATAGAAAAATAAATAAATTATCACCTGACGAATCTTTAAGGAATCTGAATTCATCATATATATATATATATATATATATATATATATATATATATATATATATATAATATGTTTAAATTTTTGCTATGATTTTAATAAAATGCTTAATATAAATATATTAATATCAACCAGCTAAGTGATAAAAGTTAATTGAAATTTTAATCCTCCTCTCGCTTTCTCTGTATGTATATATATATATATATATATATATATATATATATATATATATATGCTTATACATGTGTAATACATTGTATTAACCCTATGAGTATTTTGAATATGTTAAATAGTTTGTTATGATAACAAATCATGTTGTTTATTGTTGAAAAACAATGCTTGTATATTTTCTTAAATTACTGTAATTCATATTTGTTCAATAATAGTTAAATAAAAATTGAAAGTGAAAACATTTACAACACTCTGTATTATTATATATATATATATATATATATATATATATATATATATATATATATATATATATATATATATATATATATATATATATATATATATATATATATATAAGAAAGGTAATTTATACGTGATGTTGTAATGGATAGTGGATAGGAATGAGAAATGAGAGCGCAAAAATCAATTTGCAATTCACTTACACTTAATTACCCATCTGGTGTGGGTTGGGCTCCGTCAGGCTATCTTACCCAAGACACAGCACTGTACGGTTGCAGTACATGTCCCTGCGACCCTAATGGGTTGCAAAATTCGTGATGGTGACATGAAAGGTTGACTGTCTGTAAAAATCAGATCAGCTATCTTGTCTCATTTAAATAGTTTAAGAGATTTTTGAAGAATAAATAATTGATTTCTTAGTTTTGGTCAGTTTCTATTACAATAGCAAATACGTGGCGCGCGCACACACACACAAAATGCAGACATAATTTGTTTTTTTAATATAGGTCCAAACATAAAAACATGTTTAAACATACGTATGTGTAAACATGTTTTGCATCTTGTTTATCCTTTTTTTTGCGTTCACCATTTAAAATATATAATAATAAACTTACTAGCATTTTCTTAAATAATTTAAATAAAAGAAATCATTATTCTTGTTTAATGTCATTATGAACAATTAGCTCAGAATTGTTTCTTATTTCTAATTTATGTAAAGATAATTTATTAGGATTAATTTAAATCATTTTTATTAATACAGCCATATTTTCTACAATACATATCAAATTTATTTATTAAGAAAACAGACTTAGAAGTATAATTTTCTGAGAAGTATAATTTTCTGAGAAGTATAATTTTCTGAGAAGTATAATTATCTAAAAATCAATTTGTGAAGAAAATTTACTCATTTTTTCTAATGAAAGATCTGTTCTCGCGCTTCACCCATTGTCCGCATCACTGAGTGAAGAGTTATTTATATTGGCCAGTATTTTTCTAAATTTAGGATTCATATGAAGTCTTTCAAGAATAATTGACAACATCAACCTTGGAGAGTTATTTTGAACACCTAAGTTTCAAAAGTCTTCTCGGAGACTAGATAAAAACAAAATTATTTAAAGATTTCCGTTATTTATTACATAATATATTATACCTCTACAAACATATGCATGCAAAGTATTTTTAACGGAGAACGCATTTTTCTTTAATAAGTTTTCTCGAATATTCAAGTCGGTACACGAAAATAAATCAAACGGAACGTCTACAGAAACATGGGCATGCACTTAAAACAACGTTTGAAGTGATAAAAAAATATTTCGGATTAATAGACAGAAAATCGTTTTATTGCTTCAGAAATTGCTTTGTTTACGTTTCGGATACAAAATTGAGCAAAAATTTTCCGAAACCTAAACGAGAAAGCTGTGTTCTATATATATATATATATATATATATATATATATATATATATATATATATGTGTGTGTGTGTGTGTGTGTGTGTGTGTGTGTGTGTGTGTGTGTGTGTTCTTGTGCATGTGTATGCATATAAAATAACAATGGAGGTGCGAACCTACGAAATTATATGCATACAAATTTGTTTTTACCTTAATATGCGTTTGTGAATGCATATATATATATATATATATATATATATATATATACAAGTATATAATTGGTATATATGAAATGAATTCCAATAACCAACAATTACTATTCTTAAAAGAGTGCTCAATACAAAGTAGAGCAGATATAATTATTATTTATAAAAAATTATAACATAAGTATGTTATAAAATCACTACAAAAACAGCCGTTAAAACAAAATGGCTATTTTTGTAGTGATTTTAAACATACTTATGTTATAATCTTTATAAATAATAATATATATATATATATATATATATATATATATATATATATATATATATATATATATATATATAAATATATAATTGGTGTATACGGAATGAATTCCAATAACCAACAATTACTATTCTTAAAAAGTAGAGTTCAGATATAATTATTTTTATAAAAAAAAAAAATTTATAACAAATATGTTATAAAATCACTACAAAAATAGCCATTTTGTTTCCAAGTTCATTAAGTGTCTTATCAAGTGATGATGAAAGATAAAATAAATGGTTTTAAAAAGTTTCAGATTAATTAACGATCCTTCGCTAGAGGAAAACATTGTTACAAAAGCTAGAATGACCAATCAAAATCCAAGTATAGAAAGATTCAAAAGCTTGACAACGAGATCATGTTTTATAGCTATTCAGATCTTTAAAATACGGGTGATATTAAAAAGCGAAGGATCGTTAATTAATTTGAAACTTTTAAAACCATTTATTTTATCTTCAACATCATCACTTGATAAGACACCGGGGTGTTGAAACAAAATGGCTATTTTTGTAGTGATTTTATAACATTTATGTTATAATTTTTTTATAAAAAAATTATATATATATATATATATATATATATATATATATATATATATATATATATATTTCGTAAACTTTGTTTTGTGTGAGATCTCTGTAAAATTACATGGAGTGAAGTTTAAACTCACCACCAATGATTAAGTTTAAATTATACATTTTACAGATAAATTGATGTATACCGCCGTTAAGCTAGGTATCTCCAAAAATTCGGTATACCTATGGTTTAAATATATTTTTCACAAAGGAAAAATCCTTTTTGAAGCTTTCCCCCAACTTCAATTGAAAGCTAAAGGATTAAATTTTTTAATTCCAGAAAAAAATACCGTGGAGTATTTCAAATAGAAATTTGAATGATTTTTAGTCGATTCTTCCGCAAAACCAATCGAAACGGCCATTTTTAACTTTTTTAGAGAAATTTAGACAAAACTTTTTTTTCCTATTTGAAAATCCAGTTAAAATAAGATATACATTTTTGAAACTTTTCTTTCATACGGTAGCACATGTAAAGTTAAATTAATCTGTTCTGAAAGTTTCATTAAAATCAGAAAATTATTTGACTTTTGCAAGAATTTCCAAATTAATGTGTTTTCTCCCGGAAACTGCTACACTAAAATGGTCGTTACTACAAGTAGTACAAAGTTGACAAAAAAAAAAAAAAAAAAACCAGATTTTTTACCCAAGTTAAGAACGTGTTAGAAAAAAGGAAAACTTTTTTAAATAATTAAAACATTCTTTTTTTTTTTCCTCTTAATAACAAACATTTTAACGATAAAACTTTGCTTTTATTAAGTTTGAGGTCATTTATCATTATGCTATACTGATTTTTAGGGAATTATTGGAAGTACTTACTAAATATATAATGACTATTGTACTCAAAAAACAAGAAAATAGTAATAATTTATTTCAGTCGGTAAAATAAATTTCAAGTCTGGGCTTAGATTTAATCCTAATTATGAATATAAAAAATTTAATATTCAATATTTATTGATTTTCAGTGAGCAAGAATACATCTTCAAAATATTAGGATATATTTTCAGCATGAACACTTGTTTCAAGATCTGTGATTTAAAAAGATCTTTGCACCTATTTCGCTTGAGATAAAAAAAATGCTGGGATAACACATATGGACAAGAAAAACCTTTCTTCGAATAAATTAATTCTATTGATTTGACTGATTCTATTTTACGGTTTATCAACCCTTTGCTATTTAAAGCCAGAAAATATTTTTTAGATTGTAACAATTTGTTTTTTTAGATAACGGTTTAGTGGCAAGAATCTTACTAATTAACCTGTAGCTTGGGGGAGGGGAAGAGATGGATTCATAGCTTTCTCTTTTATTTGCGCGTAAGTTAGTGTAACGAACCCAACTGGAATTGAAGATCGGCTCTCCGATTAACAATTTCGAGCCTTTATTCATTACACCATCTGCATATCGAAATGGAATTCCCAAGCGGTCACCCATCCTGGCACTGATCATGCTCAACGTTGTTTAACTTTGGTAATCGTACGGGAACCGGTATTTCAACGTGATCTGGCCATAAGCCTAATTCTCTTCATTGGAAAGCAACGATGTTAAATTAGTATGCAATATGCATAAAATTAAAAATATTTTAGATAAAATGACGTTCCATCATGAATCAATTTATTTCGTTTCATGGGCCAAGTTAGATTAAGAAGTAATGCTAACGGATTTTATTCCTATGTGTCCACATGTATGTTTATGCATATACATATGTGCACATATATACACATGCAAAAACAGAACCGTACATACATATATCACCAAGACCACCAGTTCTAGGCTCGTAGTGGGCACCACATGCACTTCAGCAATTGCAGTAGTGGTGTATCTTTGGCAAGAGAAGGAACATATTCCTGGTTTTGAATTCAGAGTTTTCTTCCTCTAATAATGATTGCCACCTTAAGACAAAAGAACCTAATCTGCTTCGCTATTTAACCCACAGATGGGGGGAAGAGAGATTCGTGCCTTTTACCAAAGACGTTAGCGCGAAGTGAACGAAACAGAATAGACCGGAAATTGAACACGGCACGCCGATTTCACTTACAGCGCCTATAAACGTTATACTACCCGCACCTCCTAAATACGTATACACACACATACAAATATTGACTCACGAATAGATATTTCCTTACCCAAAGAGTACATAGCTATAAGGAAGTTTCGCTTCAAACGAACTGGTTGGCGTTTGTTGTAGTACAAAACCATTAATATAAGAGCCGAATTCCCTCCTGTCTAGTATTTGACCTCACAGGTGATTTTTAGGCCAAAGTACTAACTGCTATCGTATTACAGCAGGTTAAGTGCGTTGGAGAGTCTGCCTTGAAAAGTTATCTCTAACGCAAAACATTTAACAATATTTCTAATAAGCAATCGACGTTTAGTCCAAAGATGTGCATTATTCAGTATAAGTAGATTTAAAGAATAATTAAGTTCAAAATATGAAGTGTGAAATATCATAGGCCAAATGAGAGAAAAAAAAAATTACAGATTTATCCCACCACCCGTGTATGCATGCGTCTGTCTGTCTATCTATCTATCTATTGTTCATATCTATCTATCTATCTATCTATCTATCTATCTATCTATTGTTCACATATATCTGTTTATCGCTTGTTCGTATCTATCCATCTATTGTTCGTATATCCATCTATTGTTCACATATATGTTTATCGCTTGTTCGTATCTCTCTATCTATTGTTCACATATATCTGTTTATCGCTTGTTCGTATCTATCCATCTATTGTTCACATATATCTGTTTATCGCTTGTTTGTATCTATCCATCTATCTATCTATTGTTCACATATATCTGTGTATCGTTTGTTCATATCTATCGATCCATCTATCTACCTATCTATTATCATAGACACCATTATCTGCCTCCTGTTCGCATCTCTCTCTCTCCCCTCTCTCTCTCTCTCTCTCTCTCTCTATATATATATATATATATATATATATATATATATATATGTGTGTGTGTGTGTGTGTGTGTGTGTGTGTGTCTGTCGGATATATACTAGCATCCGAAAGAAAAAAGTGAAGATGATGAGACACGTAAAACTTTATTAACTAAAAAAGCCGCCGGAGAACGTATGCTCTCCTTGGCTTCATGTGGTTAGAATGAAAAGAAGACAAAACTGTGATTGAGGAATATGCCTACAAATCTCTAAGAATAAGTGGGAATCATAAATCAAATTAATTTAAAAGAGAGCATATGCTCTCTGGCGAAAAAAATCGTTAATCACCTTCATATATATATATATATATATATATATATATATATATATATATATATATATATATATATATATATTGAATATGAAGATGACTGGTTGAGCGCTTTCTCATAACAGATTATATAAAATTCACTCTCTTTTATCTAAGCAATCATTTGAACAATACTTAAATCCATTCTTCAATCTATCTATCTGTGTGTTGAAGATGTGTGTGAACTGACTTTGGTCCCGATTGCTTTCAACTATTAGATTAATCAAAATCATTTTGATAAAAAATCGCCTGAGGATACCGTAAGGTTGAAACCAAGGTAGCGGATCCAACTGACCTCCTGATTTTTAATATATCTCGAAATGTGGACATCGATGTCAATATCCATCGACGACAGTCTGTTTCATCCTTAAACGCAATCGTCAAATGACCTGGCACGTACGAAAGTCTTTCGCCGCTAGATGTTGACATCAATATCCACTTTTATATTTACATACGCTTTATCCCTGAATATATACATTTTTAATCATTTCACTAATGCGTAAGGGGTTACAGTGAAAGTGAGTGAAAAGACTTGGTATGGAGGTGATTGAAGAAAGGATAAGAGATGGACGGGGTTCAAGACGACAGAAAATGGCGAATGTATTTTAATTTTTGAAGCAAGGTGAAGCAAGAAATCGGTAGGGAGTTCCACAGGTGGGAAGTGCGAGAAAAGAAACTGTTGGTGTAGAAGTGGTGGTTGCATTTAGCTATTTCGACAGTAAACCGGCGGGGCCCAGATGCCAATCTAGTAGCAAGCTTAAATTCATGTATTCGGGGGCAGCAGGGAAAAAAGCTCGTCAGAGCAGTTGCCATGAAAGTATTTGTAGAAAAGATCGAAGGAAGCCACTCCACGTCGATGAGAAAGTGACTGAAGTCGAGATGCTAAATCACGAGAGATTACTTACTTTTATTCATAAATATTGCATACCTAAAAACCCATTGTAGCCAGACAAAAATCTCCCAACCAACCTTACACGACTAAAAAAATGATATATAATAAACATTCCCGCTTTCATCAAAACAGAGATTCCTTGTTAATGAAAGAGAAACCCCAGATTACACCTCCATTCCCAACCTATACATGAGTAAAACATTTCTTCGGTCAGTTATTCTAAACATCGCTTGAGAATTAAACAGTGCTCTAAGTTTTAGGTTTAATTTTGAAATTAAATTTTAGGACTTGAGTTTCAGTTTCGAAACATAGTAATTTCTATGTCGCGATGGAATCATATTTTTTTTTAAATAATTATAATTTTAAGATCTACTTCCGTTTCAAACACTGTTTTTTTTTTTTTAAAAAATAATAACATAAATACTAAAGAACTTTGAATCATTAATCTAATTGTTCTTTCCTATTACATCAACACACACACACACACACATATATATATATATGACTTTCTAAATATTCGTATATGTGTGCACGCGTGTAAATCCTGAAGTAATGAAGTTTAAAATAGTGTCCGTGCTGGTAATGATGGTAAAGAACATGATTATTACGACAAAAACAACAAAAAATAAGACAACGAAGAACGGAATATAGACAAAAGTAGATGAAGGAAATAGAAAAATAAGTGGAATGTTTAAAAAAAAAAGAATAAAAAGAAAAAAATTAGATGATGCTGAAGAAGAAAAAAGAAAAAGAAAAGAAACATTTATTCACTGTAAATTGTTTGTGACATATACATGGAGGTCTATCAATAAAAGCAAATTTCATTAGTGCAATTTTACTTGTAAACTGATACATATTATTCTAGAGGATTTATTATCTCGTTAAAAGATGTCGCGTTTAATATCATGAAAACCCTAAACATGCAATACGATAAGTAGCTTCACAGGTAGGCCACCACGCTTTTCCTTTATTCCTGTTTGTGTTACACTTTAAGTGGGGATTTTTAAAAAAAACTGAGCCTCCCACCATCTAATAAGGTTTCTGCGTTTATAGAACATACATTTTCTCATATGTCTCCTTTTCTTAAAACTTGTGAATTTAAAAGTATTATAATAAATGATTTGAAATAGAATCAAGCCGACATCCTGTTTCAACTTTAAAATCTAATGTTGCTCTAATCGTCTTTATTTAATTCAACATTCATGGAATACTGTTTCTTCAGTGGACTCTATTCAGTTACTATTAATAAACTGCACTCGCGAAAGGAGTTGGATGTTTCTAAACAAATTTAGGCTAGCCTGTTTTTTTTATACCAGTATGTATATTATTACTTGATACGTAGCTATTTTAATAAGTAAGAGCCCACACACAACTGATGTTATGATCATTATTCTTAAATACAAAAATTACGTGAAACAGCATTCTTATAAATCTCCTCTCACTAACTTTAATCTTATCGTCGACCTCAGACGTACATATCCTTATACTAGCAGCATGGCCCGGCGTTGCCCGTGCTTGATTCAAAAATCGTACAACTCCTACAGTAATCGCTATCACTTGACTTAAAATATTTTTGCCCTTCCTTGCCTTTAAAGGAGTGCCCTTTGCCGTGCTGATGTTGCTACATGCCTTACTTCTTGCCTATCTCACACTGCGAATTTTTTCTAAGCTCTATACTAAACATTAAATCTGTTATGAAAAAAGAACTAAACAAAATGAACACAAAACGATCAACTTTAAAAAAGGACTCGTAACTGGAAAAACCGAATGAAAAAAGAATGTTAACAACAAATACTTTTTCACACCGAACCCAGTTCTGTGGAATCAGAATCAACGTTGAGTTTAAGCAAGCGAATGAGCCAATTGGAGTAAAGTGCCATGCAGGTTTAAATTTTTCCCACGAAATTTTCGACGAATGCAGCTATCGAGTTTTTTTGCATGCTAGCATGCTAGTTAACATTCGTATCAGTCAGTTGTTGGCTCACACGAAAAATAGAATCTTCCTCATTCTGGCAGCCAGCTATAATGCTCTCAGACTGGCCATGAAAAATGGCCGCAACAGAAAACATAGAAAAAAAAAATCGATTATTTCCACTATCGATGGGAGTTGGGAAATGCAAAGTCGGTCTTGGCCTTCCCGATAACTTGGAGCATGTGCATGTAAATTTTGGTGCAAATCTGTCGAAAATTGCGGCCGTGCATTCGTTACGCACACACACCCACACACACACCCACACACATCCTGTCTTTTATAGATAGAGATAAATGTATATTTCTAAAAGTGATGGCTTTTTATTTATTAATCCGACAGATTTTGTTTCTTAAACGTTAATTTCTGTGGGTACCCAGATTTCTCGAAT